CGAAAAGTGTAGCATACAATTTGGGGCAGAAATAAGGGAAAAGTCGAGGGGGTTCATGCATGCCAAGGCAAAGTCTTTGGCTTGGCAACATTGAGAGCCAGCTAGGAATGAAGGTGAGGTCGAGGCGCTTGTGTAGAAACTTTTGGCATTGTTTTTGTGCCATTGTGAGTGTGTGTGTGTGTGAAGGCGGTGTCGCTATATATGTGTGTGTGTGTGTGGGATGTGGCACTCATTTCTCTTTCCCTTTTTGGTCCTCTATCTCTATCTGCAGCTGGGGATGAGCCAAGTCTGGCATCAGACCCTCCTCCTGCCATCTTGTGAAGCAACTTTGATTGTGGCTGAAGCTGAAATACATCGTTGCCTTCTTCATTTCCTTCTACTTCTACATCCCACCCCCTCGCCCCTTTCCATCCAATCTGCTCCTCTTTTTTGGCCAAGATGGAGTTGAGTTGGCAGATTGCTTGTGCGACTCGTTCTAGGTTTGTGAGAGTGTACGAGAGTGGGTGTAAAGGTTGCTGGGTTTGTCTGTTTTGCTTTAGGTGGGTGGCAAATTCGGTTTTTTTTTTCCTTTTCGGGCTTACTTTGGAAGGGAGCGGGTTTCAAGGTGGTCCAAAGCTGATGGCTCGTACTTTTGTGGGTGGCGGGGAGCCACTGAGAGAAATGTGTATATTGGGTGGTGGAATTATCAATAGGTACATATCGGTTTTCAATAGCCTCGAATGTGTATTTCTGTACATCGTAGGAAAGCAGACTAATATTTATTTGAGGCCATAAAAATAAACGTTGAAATAATTGTGCAAAAATTGAAAATAAACTATAATGGTTGGTATAAATTTGTGAAATATTTTTTTCATCAAATAAATTAACATTTAAATGAAGAATAAATTATTAACTTAGCTTCTTGCTTTGGAGAACGGTCCTTTCATCTCCCCTTTCTCTGCTAAACTATTGATTTATTAGTTCCGCTAGTTTTCGCTGCCAGTGTTTTATCCCGAGCTAGTCGTTGCCCTTAGCCAAAGTCGTTGTCGCAATCGAGTCCCACTCCCCAGCCATCGGCACTCCACCCCCTGCACCCCCATCCACACCCCCATCCACATCCAGTGTCCCTTGCCTTGTCGTCTTTGGTGTCCTTGTCATCTATTTCTATTTTGGAGCAATGGCTGAGCAGATGAGGGTCTTGGGCTGTCTAACTTGTCTGTTTGTATGATGGCATATCACACAACCCAACCAGGTCCGATCCCGTTCCCATTTATTTTCCATTCTCCACTCATGTGTGTGTGCCAGCAGCTACCCTGTAGACGGGCGGGTGTGTGAGAGTGTGTGTTCAAAAAACCGTAAGCAATTTTCCGTAACATCTAACCGAGGTGGAGAGGTGCAGACCCGGAGCCAGTCAAGACAGTCGAAAGACGTCTTAAAAGACGCTGCTCCATCTGCCTCGTTTCGGTTCCCTTCGCCACCTCCCCCATCCATCTCTGGATTTTACTCCACTCCCCAGACTGTTGTTGATGACATTGACTGGTTTTCCTAGAGATTCTCCCCCAAAACTCGCACCCAACCTTTGGCGTCGTCTTCGATTCGCTTGGCACGTTGTCTGCCTGCGACACTAATGCTGAGATGTGTAACGGTACTGGGATTGGGATCAGGAACGGAATCAGGACCAGAACGCATACCCCTTCGATTCACAAAAGTTCGATGATGGGCTGATGACTGACTACCATTTTGGCTGTACCGAATCATGTTTGATTACAGCTGAGCAGCATAACAAGTTGTGCCTTTCGGCTGAGCAGGGGGAGAAATCTTCAAACTTTCCACAAAGTCTTTAAGTTTACCCCCGGAAAATTGTGCAACTCAAATTAAACACAAAGACGCTCTATTCCTTTGGACACACACGCTGTCCTGCGGCGGCTTATGTGCGCTTAGGCGCAAATCTTGACCCACCCACCCACAAAGGGTTGATGGGCCCTGGCATTTGGAGTGAGTTCGAATGGAGAGGGGTTTCCTTTGACAAACACGAGCACATACATGGTGATTCAACTATTTATATACAAATGTCGCTGGCTATATACAAAAGTCGATGCTTTTGTTGCTTTCACCGCCGGCTTGGGGCCACTCTCGATTTGTGTGATGACGAAGGGGAAGGGGACTAGATCGCCAAATAAACAACCAAGAAATGCGGGATTTATTTCGGATTAAACGAAGCCCAACTGCCCTTTGGCAAGTGATTATATACAGTGATTAGACCATAATAAAATCTAAATACAATATCAATCACTTAATTTTAAAAAATAAAAAGATTTTTTGGGCTTGTAAAAAATGAATCAAGAGTGGGTTTTTCATGACGTTCATTCCAATTGGGATAAATTTTCAAGGCAATAAAATTTGTCTTTTGTAAATAATTTTCTGTCTAAGCTTTCATTTTTTGTAAAAACAGATTGTTTAACAAATTAAATAATACTTCGTTCCAAATACTATTTTTAGATGCTTTACTCAAAAAAATTGAAGTAAGAAAATAATCATATTGATTCCATCTATCCCTTTGAATCGAATGTCCTTTTGATCCTTGAGTAACTTTTCGCAACCCTTATATCGAAGGCACGGTACCCCGGCCGCCGGAATTGGGATTTGTTCACCCCTCGCACACAAGCAAAGAAACTTCACCGGAGGGCTGGTCACTCGCCGGACTCGCTTTGTGTGTCTGCCGTGTGTGTGAGTGTGAGTGTGTGTCTTGCGGGTGGCGCTTCGGGATGCGGTGGTTTCGTTTCCAGGGGAAGGGGAGCAGGAGGGGGTGCTTACACCCAAGAAGCAACTTCTTTTGTGGCGCCCCAAGTAAGCCCGCAATCCTCGCACCCATTTTCCACTTCTGTTGCCAGTGCCTTCGTCTGCGTCTTCGTCATTTGATGAATTACCGTGCAGAGCAAATGTGCGCCCTTTGGTGTGAGTGGGTTGGTGGGTGGTTGGGTTGATGTGTGGGTGAAATTGTGGGTGGGTGGAGAGATTAGGGTGACGGTGTGGGTGGTGTTTTGCCGAGTGAATGTGCTTCGTTTCATTTTCGGAGGCTATCCCCAGTCCATGCCCCCAAGGCAGACACCCCAATGTCGTTACTTGACTACCACCACCCCAGCTCCCCCTTTCTCCGCCCCCTGACAGAGACACACACACAGGCACACTTTGCACCCCCCAACGTCGTCTTCGTTCCCGTCGCAATTCGCGCTTCTATGTACCAAGGAGCATTCACGTATGTGGAGAGGAGACTTACACGGGGACACCGACGTATATCATTAGAGTGCCTCCATTTCACCCCTCCCTCTACTGAACATCCCATGTAGTCGCCCTTTTTTATCCAAAAAAGCATTATGAGCAGGTTTTTCTTTTGCCACTGCTGCCTACGCGGCGTATTAGCAATATTTTTGCAACTGTCTACGATTCTTCCGTTCCTTTTTGCGCTCCCCCCACGCGCCACCCACCTACCTACAAAAATATATATATTTTTTCGAACTGTTTATTTTGTGGCTGGGTAAATGTGTCTGGTCTGCGGTGAGTCTCGGAATGGGAATATGTGGGTTGGGGGCAAATTGATTTCATATTGGACTACTTGCTGAAAGCGGGTAAAAGGAAAAGGTCTGAGAATTTCTATATAAGCCACGAGCCGTGAGTCTTTGAAGCCCTGTGACAGGAATTGAAGGAGCTATATCGATGATTGAGGCGAGACCCTTTGAATGGCTCATACTCGGAGGTGGTACCCAAATGGATAATTGAATCATAGAGTTTACAATTATCCAATTATTGCTCGAATGATCTATGATAATTTTTATAGAGGTAATGTATGATATTTGTCAAGTTAATATTTGAATATTTGGAGGATTTCTTTTATGATTATTTTAATTAAATATTTCTTCTATTTTTAAAATATTTAAATCTTAAAAAAATTGTTTAAAACCTATAAAAAGTATAAATGATTTCTTTTTTATGACATATTTAGTTTATGATTTTTAAATTACGTAAAGAACATTTGATTTTTATTTTTAATAGCTTTGCATATATTTAAAAAAAAAATGTTTATTCACATTGGTCAATCAGCAATTTAGATTTTTGTCAGACGTTCAGAAATTATTCGGTATTAATTGTTTTTCAATTTTAATTTAAATTGTTTCTGCTTTAATATTTTGATACATGCTTACACAGTGCAACATGAAAAATGTAACCGCAATTCTGATTTCATGGGCGGAAAGAACTCATCGAAATAAGCTAAAACCCATTTAAGTTTCTCTGGCTTAGCTCGCGTTTACCTTTTATAACGAGTTAAAGTTTTACATACAAAATTTATTTGTAACGGCCATATCTTGTGAACCGATTATAATTTCACTATCATGTCTTCAGTGATTATGTAGCAATGAACCCAAGGAACTAAATTGACAAATGACTCTTGCGCACTTAGCACCTAGTGCACCTAGCGCGTTAAAAAACAAATTTGCATAATTTTTCGATTTTTAACGCGCTAGGTGTACGTCTTCGCAAGAGTCATTTGTCAATTTAGTTCCTTGGGTTCATAGCTACATAATCACTGAAGACATGATAGTGAAATTTTAATCGGTTCAAAAGATATGGCCGTTACAAATAAATTTTGTATGTAAAACTTTAACTCGCTATAAAAGGTAAACGCGAGCTAAGCCAGAGAAACCCAAATGGGTTTTAGCTTATTTCGATGAGTTCTTTCCGCCCATGAAATCAGAATTGCGGTTACATTTTATAACCCTAAAAATGTTGCACAGTGTTAGTAACAACAAAGAGGTGATTCTTGATGCAATAATTAGATTGTGAAGACACTATCATTTTAATTGAAAGGCACTAATAGACTTCCTAGAGCAGGAAGCGACCAGACTCAATTAGTCACATTTCCTGCACTCAAAACGAAAGAGTTCAATTGCCGTTCGTTGAGGCGCCGGTGAAAGGACATTCAGCTATTAACCACAAGGGGTTTTTTGATTCGAATCCAGACTCACCTTGTGCAGCAACACCGAGGCTTTTCTTTTAGATGCCATTTTCGTGCTGGTGGTGGCGCCTCCGCCAGCACCTCCCCCACCGCCACCGGTTGCCGATGCGGTACGTGTCGATGTTTTTGGTGTTTTCCTCGGATTCTTCGGAATTTTGGCAGTTTTTTTGACGGCCTGCGTGGAGTGAGGTGTTCGCCCGAAGACCAGACAATTGAACTGAAGCAGGCGCTGCCAAAATGCTACGATATCAAAGTTGCAGCTTAAGATGCAACTCGACTCGCTGGTATCCTTAGCACTGAACACACTTGTAACACTTGTGCGGATTGCGGTTTGCGGTTTGGGTTCGCTGCAACGTTTTGACACTTGTCTGAATTTTTGGCGGGTTTTTTGTTGCTAGGCAGCTCACACACAGTTCACTTGAGATGGGGATTTGTTTGTGTACGCACAGTTTTGAGTTTCAATAACCCAGTTGCGAACGCGATTTGGCACACTTTCAAAAGCGATTTTATTTTTTGGAAGGGGTAAGCACCACTAGTCAAAACTCTTTATTCAATTCGAGTGTGTTTCTGAGGATTTTGCGATTGGGTTTGTTTTGGTTTTGGTTTTATTCAAGGCTCAGAGCGCTTCCTCCAGGGGCGAACCAAACACGACGAAAGCCAACTGCTGACTGACCAAAACAGAGATGGCCAAGTGGGTTTTGAGCCGAGCCAGCCAGCCGCCTGTGTCGTCCTGCGTCGACGTCGGCAGCGAAAGAGAGAGGCGAGAGTGAGAGGACCTTAGGTGGCAGCGCCTGCGCAGCAAGGACGAAAGTTGAATGTGGGACGCCGCCAAAAGCGGAAAGTGCGTGTGCAGGCGAAACGCCGAAAAGTGTGCAACACTCGGTGAACCCCCCACCTCTTCCCTCATCCCCTTTTTCTCTCATCCACGACGGCGCCTCTGTCGCCACCCCCTCTCTCCCCTGCGCTCCACCCCTCGAGAGAGCAGAGGGATATGAGTACAAAAACAGAGAATCGCCGATAACGCGACGCTCGACGTCAACGAACCACGCTGTCCATGGGCGTAGAGGGGGGTGGTGTGATGGGTCAGCCAAAGAGAGAGAGAGAGAGAGTGAGTGGGTGAGGTCGCTGGGCGGTGGGCGGAATCAGCCGGAGGGCGGCGCGGCAGATGAGTTGACAAACAGCTGAGTGCCGACGGTTTTGTGAATGGGATGGGTGCTCAAAAGTGGGAGTGAGGCGGCAATTATTTTTGTTTTTCCCTTTTTTTTCTCTCTGGCCAAGTGTAAGTGGGGTGGTGGGGGGTGAAAGGGGGCCGATGGCTGTTGCTTTTGTTGTCTTTCGCCGGCATGGCGCAAAAAAAAAGGCCGGCTGGATCGCCCCCAGGGGTGGGAAAGGGAAAGCCAGTGGGGGAATGGGGTAGGTGATGGCTGTGGGTTTTTGGTTTGAGTTTGGGTTCGGGTTCGGGTTGTGGGGTGATAGGCAGTGGGTGGTTGGAGGTGGTTGTCGGCGTTTCGGATATGAAAAACGCACAAAAAATATTGGGAGTGGGTCCGGGAAAAATAAATGAGAAAAATATATGAGCCGGCTACGTTGTTGCTGTTGGCATGGACAGCATGAATTCCGAAATGCTCTCCCCTCTCCCTCTTTCGCCATCGTCCTGTCACTGGCTTGCCGTCTCGCTCTATTGGGGTTGGGGGGTGGTTGTTGGGAGTTGGGGTGGTGTTGCGAAAGTGGACAACGTTGTTGTCGCTTGTCTGCCAGAACGGTGAACGTGGAGTGGTTGTGGGTGGCTGCAGTGGGTGGAGGGTGACCATGGGCAGCGTAAAGTTTGTGAAAAGAATAAAGGAGAAAAAAGCGGCGGGGGACCGTTTTCCCGTTTTCGTGGGTTGAGTGCAAAAAGGGTCAAGAGCGATGGCCACCTTGCGGGAGGCTGCGGGAGGGCTTTATAGGGAGTTTATTTGAACAGGAAGAGAGATCCGTCGCCGGCGTGGTTCGACATCATTGCCGTCGCTATTTCAATGCTTTTCGAGGGTTTCCACGGGACGATCGTAAAACTTGACTCATTTCTCGAGCAGTCATCAAAGGAGGGCCAAAGACAAAGAGGGGGTGGCCTTCACTATTGTGGCTTTGATTTAAACTGGAGTGCTTGCTTGATTTATAAAAACCCCAAAGCAAATTACAAATTGTGGGACTGATGAAGAATTTGAAGTGAGTTTAGGTAGCATCTAAGTAGTTTTGTATATTTGACGATAAGATAATCACTGTAATGAAAAGTTTATAAATTCTGTCATCTGATTTTTAGTTGTTGGGAAATTTAACCGAAACGCAGTATATGTAATTGTTGTAATAATAATACAACTTAAATTTTTGTAGTTTCTACCAAATGTTGGTATTTTAATAATAAATTTTACAAATAATATAAAACCTATAATATTTCAAAAAACTGATACAATAAATTCAGGAGACTGTTATAAGGTAGTTATTCGAACAGCATATTAAACCATTCGCCAAACCTTGCAAAACCTCAACGCAGGAATGTCCGCTGCAATCGTCTGACAATGGCGATAATTAACTGCACATCACCGCAGTTTGATCCTATACCATTGATTATTACGGTTTTCATGGCATTTGGCATTTGATGTATTTAAGAGGTTCAAATCGAAAGAGCCTTAATGCTAAACGTAGCTAGCTGCTGCGTAATAATGGAAGTACAAATTAAAATATTATTTACCCTTCATAAATCATTTTTTTAGGCTAATTCAATTGAGATCTTCCTAAAACAATTGTATGCCCCCTGCCACTTTATAAAACGATACAACACATATGCGTATATCCTGCGTGCCAACGATTTATGAAAGTCAAAGTGTTAACGTTAACTGACCATTTAGATTATGCATAATTAAAGCTCACTCACTTGCTGGCGGAGAAGACACTGTCTGGGTAAATAGGTTAAATATGAGGATTCTCCATTGTCTCATTGTTTGCTGCTATGCTCATTAACATTTATATCTGTGTGCTTATCTCATCGATAGTCTAGTGCGCTTGTGGCCTATAATTGAGTTAATGAAATACTTGGGCACGCCACACGCCTGCGACGAGATTTTCCAGGAAGTAAAGTCTTTAAAATTCGCAGCCCATTCAATGGAATAAAATGTAGTATTTTTTTAAATTAACAGAATGAAAATAGAACCTTGAATTGAATTGAAAGCACTTATGGAAAACAGAAATGTTTCCATATTTATCAAATAAATTAGATTGCTTTGGTCACTTCTTGTTATTTATCTATTAGTGGATACCAAAATATAAAATAAATTAAGTTTGCCTTGCATTATATGAAATGACAATAAATTTGATGGAAATTGGTCGAGCAATATGATAACTGAATAAGTGAAAACGTAATTGATGTTCGGTACCCCCTTTTATTGCTCCTTTAGGCCCATCTTTAATTGTTTTTTCGCCGGATGGGGAGGGCGGACAAATCAAAACGCATTTATGAAATAATAAACCTATGGCCAGAATCGCTTTGTAAATGCCGTAAATCTTTTAAAACGGCCAGCTACTGGCTACCGCATAAATTCAAGCGATTTTACCTCTGCACCATGGATCCCCTTCACACCGGACAGGCTGAATAAAAAATAAGAGCGAAAAAATTGCCATTAAATTAGTTGCACAAAATCCAAAAACTATTTCATCAAAAATGCATAAAATAATAATAAAATCGTAGGGGAAAAAAATAGAGAGCCGAAAATAGAAAAAGTTGAATTAATGAAATATTTATATAGCGCACAAAATGAAAGCGCCAAATGGCAAAAAAATGCGAATCAGCTAAAAAAATATGTTATGTGTAAAATAAATAATATATAAAATATTTATATAAATTGCAAAAATGCGCAGCTCTGCATAAAAAATAAAACCAGCGTAAAATGTGAAATGCGCAGTCGCCTCTATTTTTCTATTGAGGAGTCGTAAGAGGGGGTTCCTCCCAGAATTCCTATATGTGCACGCATATATGCATCCGCGGATATATAATGGAATATGTATAAAATGTCAAATGATTTGTTTGTTCGCTTCTTTTGCCCCCAGATCCCGACTGCAGCTGACAAAAAACTAATGCAAAAAACAAATGGTTAGTAATATGCCAAAAAAATCTGAAACCGAGGGGGGTTTCGTTGTCAACTCTTAGGATGAGGGCCAGTGCAGCCAGCAGCCACTGCAGCCAATTCAATTAAAAATCTGCCACTTAAGCCCCCTGGAAAAAAGGATGGAGGCGGCATGGTTTTGACCAGGAATGCAATATTGCAGTTAGTTGAGCCCCTAATGTTAGAACGTACTTGTGGGAATTAAAATAAATGTCAAATTAAATATTATTTCATGTCCACTATCCAAAATGGAATATAGAAATAAATATTTTTCTTTGAGTAAGATATTATTCGATTTTAGCCAATTGACTAAACTGTGTTAATTGTGGAATTACTTTCCATCTTTTTTATGGAAGTCCAAAAATTCCGAAATATCACTGAAATATGCTTAGTAAAACTATATTGTTTGAATGGAGTTGCGTTGTAAGCCGTTCTCGTTGCATAAAGATCGCATCCCTTTTCACGGAACCCCCAACACAGCAGCAAACTAAAATGCAAGCCACACTCACACACACAAATCCACATGCTCAGCTTTGTATATAACAAAAATTTTATTCGAATTTATTTTTAGTGTTTTTTTCGCATTTTCCCTGAACAGGAGTAAAGGCGGAAAGGTTCACGCGGGGTGCAATGCATTTTGTTTATATTTTTTTGGCCGCGGCTACTACAACACTAAACTGCAAGGATACATGCAAGCGCACGTGTGTGTGTGTGAGTGTGGTCATAATAAATAATAAAATACAGCATACACATGCACACAAAAAATAGGGTAACCTGGCAGGAGGAGAGTGGGCTACTAGGCAAAAAAAAATGGAAAAAAAAAACGCTCTGCTGAAATGCTGTTTGAATTTTGCGCACATTTTACGCCTGATCGAAATATTTTGCGCCATCCCGGCGGTGAGGCCATAGAAAAAAGTCAAACGCAGCGGGTTGAGCGAGAAGGACATCCTCCTGCCTCCTCCCGAAATTTCCACATCCCTGCCAATCCTTCTATGCACGCGCCTACAAAACTTTTATTGTGTCCGTCGATGTTTTTTCTGCTTTGACGCTTCGACCAAAAATTGCCAATGGGCTTTGTCCGACGGGGCGAGCAGGGGTTAAGGGTTTTTCGAGGGGGTGAGATGGGGGGGATGGTGGGGCCTCGGCCACTGTGGTGCATTGTGGTGCAGTGGTCCCCGCTTAGACCACGGTTATGGTTATGATTGTGGTGTGATGGCCCGCTTGCGTTCCATTGGCTGGTCTGTTGCTTGTTTTGCGTGGGCTCGTTCCACGACCCGTTTTGTTGAGGTAGGCTAAGCAGTTGAGTGCGGTATATATTCACTGCCATCGAGCGACTGACTGTATGTGCATTCGAATGTTTTGTTAATCAGTTTTAAGCTCCCACATGTGGGTGTGGTCTAAAATTATAGGTTGGCACGGACTATTTATTAAAGCGGTGCATATATCAAAACCCTAAATATCCTTCTGCTTACAAACCATACTAAGAACAATACTAGTTTTAAATATTTTAAATTAATTTTTCAATTTT